AGCAGACAGAGTAAGTAGCTGAACCGGCGGCAGAGGAAAAGTTCTTGGGTCAGCAATTTTCTAGGATGGGAACAAACACAAACAAGCACAAAATCTAAAGTGCTCCATAGAAATGTTCTAATGCGTTTGAAAAAAACTTCTTTTGTTCCAAAAGATGTGAAATTTTCCTGTTTTCACAATTTTATAACAAAAAATAATCGGATTAAAATATTTTTTAAGGATCTGAAATCTATTTTTAGACTAATAATGTTTTCCTCAATAAAAACTTGCAATCGGCTCAAATCATGAAATTTTGGAGAAGCAATTGATTTTAAACATACGGAATTAGCCAAAACCATATAAAACAATTGATTTGTCAAATAAAAATTATAAGTAATTCAGCGTGGAAATATTTTATTCCTCAAAAGATGTATTTTTCTCAATACAAAATTTCATCACATTAGGGTCTTGTGGTTTTTTTTATTATTTTTAAAGAACATAAGATCTTGTCAGCGTATTTCTATTTTATTTTTATGTGAAGCTATAATTCAAATCTAAAAAATATTCCTAATTTTCCTTGTAACTTTTAAAATTGAGCTATATATATTCTTAAATAATATTGCTCTAAAAAAGCCGTCATCGTATTTTTAAAAATTCATACAGTGCATATTATTTATTTTGTTATTGTTGTTTTAAAGCCCACATTTTGAAAAGTACATTGTTTACATTCAATAATTGAACCAAAATAAAAAGGTCTTAAAGAAACGGAATTGCTGGACATTACTCATCACTCGCAAGAATTTCGCTTAAACCTCCGTATGATCAAAAAGACTTTTGTGTTTGACCAGAAATATACTTTGTAAAATACGTTTTGAAATGAAAAACTGCAGCAGTCTGAGTCCTGTAGTCGATTTTCCGCAGTGGCTGGGGACGAGATTGAACGGTAAAAGTGTCTGCAGCCGATCACATAATAGCTAGTTTCCTCCTCGGAGACTTTCGGCTGAGAAATCATCCCTCGGCCATTTCTCTCACTCGAGTGTAAACCCTTCTTCTTTATACAGCAGCCGGATTTATCTTTTTTCCTCATTCGTCCCTGGCCAGAATGATACATTTTTCTTGTGGCAATTCTGATGTACCCCAGGCTGCACTTCCTTTTGGCGACGTGGCGAAAAAATCGACGCGTATATGGAAATTTGATATGACGGAGGGTGCAAAAGTGCAGCACAGATGGTTATAGAAGTGAAATATGGCGTAAGGGTGGGCGAGCAAATAAGGTAGGGTTGCGATTTAGTTTCGCAGTTGCCGACCGCACAGAAGAACCGCAAAAGCAAATCTTTCAGGGCCAAGTTAACTCAAGTCTAGACTCCAGACCGGTACAATTATTTGCGTGTTAAACCATAAATTACTCAATAATCCAGCCCGTGCGAAATTGAAATAAAAAAGCACCAACGCACTGATTCTAATTTTCATTTCTATTAAAACAGATTTAAGAATTCTTCGCGATTCTTGAATTTAAAGTATTAATTTTATTGAAGAATAAACATACCATTCTGAAATAAATAGGAATAGAATGGGTTATATTTTTATTATTATCAATATAACTGTAGTTTTTTTTATTAAGATTACGAGATTTGTTTACTTGTTAACTTTATTTGAGAATTTTTATTAATCAAAGTTTAGAAATTTTACAAGTATTTCACAAGCCATAAGTTGTATTCTCCCTTCCCTTCATATAAACTTGTCAGCAGCAAACGTTCTTTTGATGTTTTAGATTTTTTTAAACTCGTTATAAGTTGTGGAACTAAATTGAAAGGATATTTGATTAAAAGTCATTCACGCGAGAATATAGATAATCAGCGCGTATTTTTTATCAAATACAACTGACGACAGAGGTGATTTGATTTGCAAAATTAGGTGTTGAAATTTTATTCAATATTGGCCTGTTTAACAAGTTAAAACAAACTCGTTTACAGTGGTAATGAGCTGTGAAATGCAAAAATTGCATAAATTAAATTCCAATGCAGTTGTATTAAATTTGCAAATCTCTCGTCTGTTTGAGCAGCGGAAATACATGCATATGTTTGCGTTGTAAATTATGCAATTGAGCGGCGGCTGTGAAACGGACTGCGCTATTTTCCCCGTGCTATGCACAAAACTGCATTATATTGTGCTCGGCGTTCGTCGCGCCAGTCGGTGTATTTTTACAGCGACCGAAGCTGCACAAGTGTGAGAGGGTGGCGGAAAATAAAGCTGCTAATTGAATGTGTATGTGTGCTTCAGCCTCATTGATTTAGCCTCCCCGACTAACTAAAACATACACATATTAAAAAAATGAATCCACTTTTGGCCTGCGTAATTAATTTAATCTCGCCCGGGCAAAATAAAATCTGGCCCGCTGGAACGTCACTGCTGATAAAGCAGCCAAGAGTTGTAATTTTCGGCGACGTCGAGGCAAAAAATCTGCAGAATTGCGAAGCGCATTTTTTGGCGCGCCGCCAAACGCCGAGCAGGAACGGCTCTGTTTGTACCTGACAATAATTAGCGATTTATCTCAGACTCCGGGAGCATTTTTCGCCTCCGCCCACCCATAAAAAGAGAGGCAACCCGCATTGCTCCACATACGAATAATGAATAAAACGGCGCGGTCTCTCTTACTCGTGTTTTGCTTTCCTTTCTCTCTTCAAAAAGGAAAAAGTCGCTTTTGCCTTGATTACAAGCAGAAATTTATTTCCACCTCTGTCTTTTCCGTCTTGTATTTTATTGAAGAAGAAATTTTACTCGCAAGGTAAACAAATGCAGCAGAGCATCATGTTCAAATTTAGCAAACAACAGAAAAAGCACGTTCGGCGTTTTTGCCCTGATAAATTCAACCACGCCCATAAATCATCAACGCGTGCGAAAAAAGCGAGGCACAGAATTGACAGGTGATAAATTGGCGTTCAATTTTCAATTGGCAAAAGAGCCTGACTTCACCCAAGGGCGTGGAATTATACGTGTCAAAATTTTTGTTTTCAAATTAAAAATGAATAATTTTTTTATGTTTAAAAGTCTCTATAATTATGGATTATTGAATAATAATTATTAAAGTTATTAAATAATTAATTTTCAAAAAGGTATTTAATGCATTTGATTTGCAATTATATTATTAATTTAAATAAAAACAGAAGATTGATAATTTGTTGGTTGCTAGTAACTTATCTATTTTATTATTAGAATTTTTTTAGAGTCCTATTGTTGCCATGCAGAATTATAAATTTGGCACACAACAATGGCGTCTTGTTCAAAACTTTGGTGCATCCAACAAACAGCAAAAATTATATTCCATGCTAAGATAAATTTTTTCCTTAAAATATTATATTTCTTGCTTCAATATTAATGGATAAATAAAGCTCCAAACCATCTTTCATGTAAGTTAAATTTAAAATTATAAATTTTAAATATAATACAAAATTATTATTTATTTACTAAACCCATCTGGGTACAACTTTGATACATTTATACAGTAGATATAAAATTTATTGTTCACAATTTATTTTGTTGCTTTTCTATTGGTCAAAATGGCATTTGAAAAAGGGTAACTCCCTGTTTTCATTAAAAATTAACTGATATAATTAAGGGATATTTACGTTTGTCAAAATATTGTTAATTTGGATATTCCTTAAGAAAAGCCGAAAACAACTATCAAAAGGAAATAAATAATTTTACAATGTTTTACATCTTTGATGCGGTCTGGTTGTGTTTGTGTATCGCCTTTATCGGTCTTCGCCTTTCTCACTCGAAGGCATTAAAAATTAAGAGCATCTCTCTTTCTCCATAAAAGAAACGAGAAAAAAATCCTGCGGCAAAATCACATGCCGTCGGCGTCCAACTACACTAAACTTTCCGCCCTGGGCGATGGAAAAACCGCATCGGAAAATCGCGCTCGCTGATGAATTAATCGAAGCAAAATTATTAATTAACCCCTCGGTAGGGGTGGGGGTGCCTGATTCGCTTTGCACATAGGCAGGGTCATTGCCAACAGCTGACTATAAGGTCCTGTTGCCCGAAATATTTTACAATTCTTGAAAGGGGTTAAATAATAGAATAAAATATTTTGCCAGAATTTGTGGTAGCTGGGGAGGGATCCGCCCCCGGTCTGGATTTAGGGCAGGGGTGGTTTCGGATTTCGCACTCACCTTATCCACGGGCATGGATGGGCACGCTCGGCACAAGTTCCAAAAGGATCCAATCATCGCCGGTCGGTCGAAAGTCGGGCCGACAAGTTGTTTTCTCACCCCTGAGGCGAGGGTTGGGGGTGCAGATTTGGTGGTCGGTCGGTCGGTCGGCGGAGAGAGAAAGAGAGAGACTAGAGAGCCGAAATGCTTTTGGCCATGGCCACTGCGCCACTACCCCTGATAGAGCTTTGCACGCGCTCGCTCGCTCACTCACCCTCTGCTGTATACTCCAATCGATACTCTCTCTCCCCCAGTCACCCCCGAGAGCGAGTGCATTACTACCCTCTCGGTATGTGCCCGAAAACAAAATGTGTACCGAGAGATGCGGTGCATGTCTCGCCGCAGTTTAGTTCGTCCTCTCCTCTGGCGAATTTGGTTTGTTTTCTGTTTTGCAATTTTTTTAATTTAGCCCGCAAAGGAAAACGCGAATCACGCCCTGGTGGGTGGTGTATTCATTGTCGAATGAATGGATAAAAAAGCAACAAGCGGGCCGGAAGGCAAGAGATGCACGCTATGCACTATTATATTTACTTAAAGTCTATTCCTTGATTGAGAGACGTCCTTAAATATTAATTTTATCAATCAAATATCTTGGCCAATATTGTAAAAAAAGAGTGAATATTAAAAATTAGTATAAAAATTCAAGATTATCTAATGTTTATTAAATTTATTAATTAACTATTTTTTCAGTGCAATAGAAAATAAACGAATTCTCTATTTTACATTAAATTTCCAGCAGTGGTTTAAATATTTAATTGTAAATAATGAAAAAAAAAAAAAAATTTCACGATAATTTTGCAAAAAAATGTTGTGTTCACTGCTTTTTAAAATAACGAATTACATATGTACAATTTCATCTTTAAAAGCACTATTAAAAAATTACTTTAAATCTGTAAAATATGAAAACATTTGATTAAAATTTATTTGTAATTCAGTTATGTTCACATATTGGTAACATTTATAACTGTTTTGACTAAGCCGTTGCTCAAGTCAATATAATGCATTCTTTTATATTATTTTTTAATTTTTATTATCTTATCCACATTGTTACAATTGTATTTGATAATGTCAAAATTGAATATTCCCTTACAATAAAGCCCTGCACTATTTATTAAAGACTCCATGCGCGTTGCCTTTTGCCAATTATTGCAAAATCGCGAGCACCGAGCACTCGCGCTATCTCTCGATGAAACTCTGAACCTGCTCAAAGCCATACAATATACATATCAAATTAAAGAAGACTTCAAATATATGCATGTCATATGTACACAATATTACTTGAATTTTTAAAGTTCAGTTTCATGAAAGCCTGATTAAATGAAAAGAAATAAGTAAAATTATTATTTTTTAGGTATAATGATTTAAAAATTAACAAAAGATTGTCTATTGTATTTTGTTGAAACAAGCACACACAAATTCCATATTTAATATTCCGAAGGTTTACTTTTAACGATTTACTTATAACAAGCTATTAAAAATCTTAATTCGTCAATTGAATGATTATTTGGATGATTTTATGTGGACTCATGCATAAAAAATTTCTCTTTGGTTAGATGAGTCTTATTTTACTAACAAGGAATTATTAAACTTACGTTTTTACAAAGTGGCGCACAATGAAGTAATTATATTTTACAATTTCAGAGTGTTCATTAGTGTTCACAAACCAGCCTTACTGAAGCATTAAGAACGTTTAATTTGAATTACCTATATATGCGCTTTCAGTTGTTCTTACTTCGTAAAAAAAAGGATTTTTTTATGATTAACTTATTAAAGTTATTCATGAGTTTGAAATATTTCGCACTATTGACGAAATGTGTTAGCAACTTGATCGGAATTATTTTTGTAGTTTGCGGGGACTTGCTTTTGCTCAGGCTGCTTCCAAAGTAGGTCCGTGGAGATTGCTGCTGTTTCTGTCGATCCTAAACTGTGTTGGTCAACTTCCATATAAGAGACGACCTGGGCCTCCAATGTACTCTGAATTAATATACATAAACATTAGCTAAAAAAAAACACGAATTAAGAAGATCGTACCGGAATATTCAAAAATTCTGGAGACTTATCTGATTTTACAGCATTTTCCACTCCTTCGAAGCCAATCATTTGGAGCTAAAGATTTTAATTAATTAGCAACCTCGGTTGCAGCAAAGATTTTTACCGATTTCTCCCGATCTCCAGCACCTGAACCATTTGGTTTTCCTTTGAATTCCAACTTAAATGCCTCTTGTGCCTCCTCATCAATTACCACAAAACTTTCATCATTGTTTGTCGGTGGGACACTTCCATAAGCCGCTGATGGATTTGTTAGAGGTGTGACCGTTTGCTTTCCAGCAGTCTGGGAAAACTGAGAATGATGTTGTTGAACTGGGGGAGACATTGTCTGCAACCAAGAGGCAAGAAAATCAAATTATTTTCTCTATTATAAAAAACATTTTTGAATAAAATGATACTGAGTTTTATTTTTAAAGAACAGCTCTACTAGATTTAAATTAGTACTTTTCACTAAACACCTTTTACGCGTGGAATTACGTTCCGAGGCGTAAAAAGCTCTACTGGACTTTATTTCATGAACACTGCTCGCTAATACAAAAGAAATTGCACATTGAATAGGTCAAAGACATTCATCAAAATTGTTTCAGAGCGAATTTTTTAATAGAAAATATTTAAAAGAATGAACTTTTTTTTTTCAAATTTGTCTTTTTGAATGCCTATATCCCATCTCTCAATAATAATCATGATTTTCGATTAAAATAAATTTACCATTCTTCTTACCTTGCGTTGCTGAACAGAATTGCGGTACGGTTCATTAAATCGACAGAGCGTGTATACATAGAGATCGTCTATTAAAATAGAATAAAGTTGACATAAAACTTAAAATTAAATGCTATATGTGTACTCACTTATAGTACGAATCTTCAATTTATTCACATCCTTTTGGATGCTCTCATACTCCTGAAGAAGGTTTTGGTCGTTGAAGCAGTAGTAGTGCAATTTCTTTTGGGCCACCGACGCAGCCAGCCACTGAATGAGCATTTTCAAAGTTGGGTCACCCTGAAATTAGTAGCAATAATTTGTTTAGTAAAATTCTAAAAATAAATGTGAACAAATAAAATTGGCTTTTCTTGTAATTTTACAACTTAATCACCAGAAAGCCTCTGCTCATACATTTAAAAAGCAAAAAAATAATTAAAATGAACAATGTAAATTTTTTAAATCACAAATTTTTCCATTAAAATCAAACCTATAATAGTTCAAATTTTTTTCTAAGAGATAAAACTACATTTAAAACAAAGCAGTTCTTCTCAAAACTAATGCATTTAGTATAAAAATTACTTTGAATGCTCCACCTCCCCAGTTTCCAGTCGCAATTTTCTCAAGAGGCGAATTGCAGAACCCGGCATACGCTTTCACAAGCTCCCTGTTGATGGCTTCCTTTGTGTATTGCATGTGCGGTGCACCTCGGGAAAAGTCCAATGCGTCGATCGCAAGCACAACTTGCGAGCGATTTGCGAATTGGTCAGCTGGACCCGCGTATTGGAAACCTCTGCCGTAGCCAGCATGTTTTGAATATGGCGAGGCACCTTCGATAATCACGGCTTCGTTGTCCTCCAACTCCGGGCACAGCAGACGCGCGGCGATCAAATCTGGGCACGTTATGAATTTTATCTCCTCCTGAACGCTGCCATTATTGATGACGCCTCCGCCAATTCGCCTGCGAAACATTGGAAATTAGAAGAATTGAAAAATATAAACAGTGAAATTAAGCGTACTTGTTTGCAAAATCGACTGCAGCCATGTTTGATGGGCAGTCAAAGATGCTATCGCTTTGGTTGCACTGAAAATCGCAAAGAGGCAACTGGCTTCCCTCCCAGTCTGGCATTTTTTTCACGCAGACCCGTTGAAAAGTAATTTTTCCATCTAAATCTTCTGAAATAAAATGGAACTTGAATATTTTCATTTCACCTGAAATTTTAAAATATACTATGTTTCATATTAATTTTGGCCTCAACTTGATTGAAGTATTCCATTAGGCATTTCAGCTTTTCAAGCTTTGCACTTGATCGATCACGACCATCGTCGCTATAAAGGCTGTTGTAAAAAATTGAAAGGCGTTTATATATGTATTGCATGTAAAAAAAATGAGCCTACCCATCAAAATTCATATTTTGAAATCCGTAGTTTTTGTATGTCTCGTCGTCAAATGTACAGAAGAAGCCGTTTGCTAAACACTGAGCAATTTCCAGCCTCGTCATTTGGACTGTTCCTTCTTCTTGTGGCACCAAGTATTTCTCCACTTGTTTGATGGGTTGCTTGGCCAAATTTTCAATGAAAGGAATCTGGTAAAGATATTGGGGATTTGACTGGAAATGAAGAGAGAAATAAGTCTTCAGTTAAAAGCACATATTTATTCCAGTTTACGTCAATGAGGCGGCGCAGAACTTCAAATTTGGAGCCACATATTTTTCTGTTAGTTGCTCGTGACATAATCGCGAGTATCAATTGGTCAGCCGACTTGTATCCATGCCAAGCGAGTTTTGCGTCCCGTGTTCGCTGATAAAGAAAAGATGTTTTTATAAATATAATGTTATAAAGCATAATTTTTTTTCTTACGTTGAATTCCACATTGCGAATCCTTTTGGATTCACTTTCTCCAGAGTAACCTTGCACGTTACTTTGCCCCCCAGAGTAGTGACTTTGCCTCCCAGAGTAGTGATTTTGCCCCCCGTAGTGACTTTGCCCTGGTAAATCTTGTCTCCCACTGACACCATTCGTGTTGCCATGGTTCCTGGAAAATAGAACAACGAACCTATTTATTGCATTTGAATTCCTATTGGACACAATCATGATATATTTTTTGCAAATAGAACGGATAATGTTTTCTTTCGTTTTATAAAAAGTCTAACTTTGCAAGCGAAATATTAATTTATAGTGATCTGTAGGGCCGCCTCCATTCTCCCTCACAACTTAGACTTTGACTCTTATCAAATTGGCGAGTGTAAAGTGTAATTTACAATTTCGTCAGAAGCTATAAATAAGTTGAAAATACATATTCTTCTACCACAATTTATCTACAAATATACATTTTATAATACCTCACTATTGAATATTTGAAAATAATAATAATAATAATTAAATAAATTCACACGTCGATTCATGTTTGGTATGTCTTAGACCTTTGTTTTATAAAAATTTTCAATAGATTCTTACTGGAAATATAAAATTAAGTTTTGGAATATTTTAATCATTTGCTAAAATAAATAAACATCACAAGGAGAAAAGGGTAAAAATGATGGAACTAAGTGAAAATTTGTCACATTCATTATTTTTTAATTATGCACTTAAAGAATGACTGCATATAAAATTAATATTAAAACCAATTGAGCCCTGATGTATTTTGAAAAAAGGGTAAAAAATACTTGCCCCATATTCCAGCTTTTGTAGCCTCTGCTCATGATGCGTTGTGACTTGTGTCTGTTGTGTTACTATGACGGGTCCTTTTATAGCAGCGCTATCTGTGCTGTTAAAGTCAAAGACAAAATAAGCGTTGAGCAACGCATTGAAATTCGTAAGTCTAAGTTCATCAATGAAGCGTATTGAACTTTTTTTATGATAAGGAAACTCGGAATTTAAATTATTATCCATTTTAAATTAGATTTATTATATTTTTAATTTAGAATAACAATTAAAAGAAATAAAACTACCTCCAAAATCGTTTTGATGGGCATAAATATTATTATAATACAATATATTATAGGAAAATATCATGATGTGGGATTTGGTTTTCAATTATTCTCTAAATAATTTTTTTTGTAAATTTTGATTTACATTTTTGTAGTTTTGATGAGTTTTAATCAAATCTAAAAAATGTAGGATTTTTGGAAAATTATTGTCGTCCCTTAATTGGGTCACATCCCTTTGATTGAAAATTTGGATATTTCTTATATTGAAAACTTAATTTGTATGTATTCATACTTGTGTACTTTATTGAAGAAAAACATATCAATTAATTCATTTAATTTTATTAATGCATGTACATAGACTTTGAAAATCACTAAGACATATCAATATTATCCACAAATTCATATGCGCTAAGCAAAGTTCTTGTGTCACCAAAATAACGGATCACTCTCCGAACAGGGCTAGCAAAAAGACGTCTACTAAAAAAAATGTTATAAGCAACTGGGAAACTATTTAAAATTAATGATTTTTACATTAGAACCCAGAAACATTTGCACAAGAACGAAACTGTGCCTCCTAGCCAGGTTCCCCTGAAAAACTTCTAGTAAATCTTAAAACTTGGTTTTCAATCAATACACAATTTCTATAGAAAAAATCTTAATTTTATTGGTTAGGAATATTTATGTCACATAAAATCTTTGCTCAAATTCTGCATCAATTAATTTTCAGGTTCTATGCCTACCTGAACTGTTTCTCCCCCCAGAGAGATATAGTTTTGAAACGCTAAGAATATGGTTGCAAGGAACGGAAACACCTGCGGAATTTAAAGCTATAGTTAAAAATAGCAAAGTAATAATTTTAATAGTATGTGAAACTTACTGCAAAGCAAAAACTCAAGATGGAGGGAATTTTGTTTTTATAATTGGTACAATGCTTTGTCATCATCAATTTGTACGCCTCTCCTGTTTTAATACAAATATTTAAAATAAATAAATTAATTAATTAAATAATTTATACCAATTGTTTTGCCTCTGTAAGTGTGCACCGTCTTGTCAAACAATTCTTTTAAACTCCTATCGTTGTAGCAATAATACACAAGCTCCTTTGCTGCCATGGACGCTGCTAGCCACTGAATTATCATTTTCAATTCAGCGTCACCCTGAAAAAAAAATCGTTTCTTCTTCTTAAAGTTCACGGAAATTAATTAAAATTATTACTTTGAATGCACCGCCGCCCCAATTTCCGGTAGCAATTTTCTGCAGGGGGCACCGTGAGAAGCCAGCGTAGGCTTTCAGGAGTTCCCTGTCAATTGAATCCTTCTTGTACTGATTGTCTGGAGAGTTCCGGCCCGAAAAGTTGAGAGCATCGATCGCAATCACTGTTTTAGACGAATTGTAATATGTATCGGCCGGTCCTGCGTATTTGAATTGCCTTCCATAGCCAACGCCTTTCGAGTAAGGAGTGGCCCCGGTCATTATCAGGGCCTCGTTGTTCTTCAAAGGTTGGCAGAAGAGCCGCGAGACGATGAGTTCGGGGCAAAGGGCGAATTTTATTTCCTCCTGAACGCAGCCTCTTCCCAAAATTCCACCGCCAATGTGCCTTGAAATGGTCTCAGAAATAAAGATATGCTCTTTTAATTAAAAAAAAAAAAATATGTCTCACTTGTTTGCAAAGTCCACCTGCGCCTCGTCTGAAGGGCAGTCGAACATGCTCGATGCGTCGTTCTTTTCGAATTTTGTCAAATATTTGTTTGAATTCTTCCAACCAATGGCGCTTGTCTCACAGATTCTATGGAAAGTTACCTTTTCATACTTTTTTGCTGAAAAAAAAATCAAAGTTTAAGGATTTTTTATTTTTGTATATTCTTTTTTTAATAAAATAGTTCTTCCTTATATACCTTGGAAATCGTCTGAAGTGACAGCTTTGAAGTACTGGAAAATGCATTGCAATTTCGACACTTTCGAATCTGAATTGTTGCACAAGGTGTAAAGTCTGCAAATTTTTTTTTAGCAAGATTAATTTTTTTCATTGTTATGCTGTGATATAAATATACCTCTTGAACGAAAATTCCTCAAAGTCATAGTTGGGAGGAAATGTGCAGAAGAATGCAGAAGCGAGAATACGTGCGATTTGTTCCTTGGTCAGCTCGACAGTCGACTCGGTCCCAGCGAACAAATACGGCTGATCTGGAAAGTCTACCTCTTTCGCAAGCTCCTCCAATTTTGGCACAACAACGCGCAGAAAATGCTCTGCTTCTTGATAGTTTCTTTGCGCCATCTGCATATTTAAATTTTCGATTTAAAGAAAAAGTTTATTTTTTGTATATATTTAACGAACCTCCTCAATCGCAGTGTGCAAATTTTCAAAAGTTACCGAAACGTCCAAATCTTGAGCGACGGCCCTTATGGCGAATTCCAGATCGTACGAAGAAGAGTAGCCTTTCCATGCTTTTTTTGGAGCTTCCGTCCGCTGCATTAAATATTAGAATTTATAGTTAAAAATTAATTTTTAGGACTTACATCAATCATGGTATCGTTTCGCCTCTTTGACATCTTGAACTTAGGAGCTGTAAACGATTTGATGAAACTTGTTTTATGTTTCGCTCTTGAAGCCCCACGCGATGCTCGGCAATGCTTTTTGCTCAATGCGAGAGAGCCGGAGTGTGCGCGCACCAGTTATTTTGAGCGCGTCCGCCAAAGTCTTAGACAGGCACCGATGTCATTTGATGTGTCAATTTTTAAAAATGAAACGGGATAGCCCATTGCGGTGTTACATCAAACACTTAATTTCAGTGATAAATCATTTTCCAAATGGAAAATGCATTTCATAATTAATAAAATATTTATGAATAAAATATGGATGAATATGATTTATTTTAAAATATTTGAAGTCATCACTATGTCAGACTTTTTCGAACTTATCTTTATTTTCGTATGATGATACGAGCGTTGTAAAATTGTGATTAGATACGCACTTTTTAAACTTATGTGATGATAAATAATCTCAAGTAGTTTCTTACAGTAAAAGAAATTCAAAACCTTGAATATCATAGATTTCGTCTTATTATTTATTTGTTCTGTTAAAAACCGTTTTGAAAAATGTTCTGCATTAGAAAATATAACTTTTTAATTTGTAGAATAAACCTAAATTTACCTTTTTTGTTCCGTTTGATTTGCAGACACAAATACTGATTTTCTCAGTGGACTTCGGAGGGCAAACATTCAATTAAAGCAGGATTGAGAAATAATGCGCAGAAACTACCAGCAGGGGCTGAATGTTGGTGTTGAATTACCACACGAGTCACATCAAATTTTGCTGACGTGAAATATAAGTAGTGCACTGCTGGCAAAAAGACGCAGACCTCTTGCCTTTTTATTACTGTGAAATATTTTCAACAGTTTAGAAATCTACAAAATTATAAGCATAAAATAATTTTAATTGATTAATACAAAATTAATTTTAAATATAATATTTAAATCCAATTTTATAAAATATTCAGAAATATTTGTTTTTACCTTTTTTCTCTACGATTTAAGGTTGAAAATTTTGAAAAACTTCAAAGAGTGCAAATATTTATTTAAAAATGAATTTTCTTATTCTTAAATAATATTATTTTCTCAACAAAAAATACATATATAAGCAAAATTAGCAGTTGATAATTTTAAAACGTAAATTAGTAGTAGACTTAAATGTTTATCATCATGGTACGAATCATAAGACTTTCCTTGAGTGCTTGGATAACATTTTTGCGGTTTGCCCTCAATTTGACATTGATAATGGTGTGCCTTGCTGCGCGTGACAGTAAGTCTTAGACACTTTTAGCTTCCGTATATGCATCCCGCTTGACACCGATGATCCGCAGGTTGCATACTTCAAAGTTCATATAGCTTTATCAGCTTTTTTTATTTCTACAATTTCGTCATACCGCATTTATTTAAAATTTTGTAAATTTTATGAAATCTTAATTTGAGTGGCGTAAGTTTAATTTTACTTCAATCATTTTGTTGTGATATTTAAGTTTTTAATAACAAAGTATTTGTACTGCTGAGCAAATTTTGGTATTTCTTGTGTGTCATTATTGTTATTTATTGGTCCACATTGTTACAAATACATTGTTTACATTCAATTTTTGAAAACAATTAAGAAAAAGGGACTGTTGGACAAAATGGCATCACAACTAGCAAAAATTTTGCTTAAACTTCCAAGATCAAAAAGACCCCATCCGCCGCAGTGAGCCTCAGTTAAGTAAAAAGTGGCTTGTTAATATCATTATATTTAGTTTCAAGTAATGTTTACTGAGGTATCACCGGGCATTCTCTGCCCAAATAAAATCATCCGTAAATCCAGTATTACAAATTTTTTATTTTGATTGGTTACAAGAGAAAAAATAACAACAAAATTACATTGACAGAACAAAAGTAAAAAACAGCCTTGATATATAAATATTTAATCCTTCTGAGAGCAACTTCACAATCACAATTAAATTATTTAATTAATCCATGTTTAGCGATAGAATGAATTAAATTTCTTTGGTAAAATCTTGCTTCCGTCAAATTCTAAATTGAAACATCAATAAAAGTCCAGGTTAAACATAAAAAAAAAAAAAAAAAAATAGAAAAGGTTCCAAAATTATTTTTTATTTTTGTCAAAATTATTGATGATAACTTTAAGAAATTAATTTCTGGTATACCTTTGGAAAGTAAAACCATAAAAGATGTGACTGGAAGTAAATACTCTGAATATACATACATGCATTTAGATTGTATAATTCTTTTCTGATAGACTCTGCTCGTCGTGGGGAGATTTCGCTTTTCATTCTGGTGTAACATTATTTTCCGCCATCTAAAAATAAATTAAATTTAAGTTATAACTTAACTTATGCCGCCGCTGCTATATAATTTGCACCTTTCTGACAAGCGTAGAAACTTTTTCAAAAATCCTCATCGTAGCGGCAAAGAATTACAGTGTAGTGCTGGCCTGTATAAATAATGTAATTTTTTATTAATTACCAAAAAATTAAATTAAAGACTCTATTTCTCACCAATATTCGTTGATTTTTCTTTCTTCAAATTAAGGCAACTATCAATCAATTTTTGTTCTCCGTTGCAATAGTAGACTAGCTTCTTTTTGGCCATGGAAGCTGCCAGCCACTGGATTTGCATTTTTAGTTCCGAGTCACCCTGAATTTTAAAACAAAGATGTTTTAATATTTTTGAAAATTAATAATTTCACCAAATATTACTTTCAAATTTCCACCGCCCCAATTCCCAGTTGCAATCGTATCCAGCGGGCACTTTGAGAAACCGGCGTAGGCTTTCAGCAGTTCCTTGTCGATGGACTTTTTTGTGAATTGCCGATGTGGATCGCCCGATGAGAAATCAGTGGCGTTGATTGCAATCAAGGTGGAAGAACGATTTGCATTTTGATCGGCAGGTCCTGCAAACTTAAACAGGCTGGCGTATCCGCTGTGCTTGGAATATGGCAAGGCACCGCTAATTACGATTGCCTCATTACTCTTCATTTCTTGGCAAAGCAAACGTGCAGCGATCAGTTCGGGGCACGTTATGAATTTGATCTCCTCTTGGCAGCAGTTGTCCTTCAACGTTCCCCCACCAATATTGCTATGCATAATAACATAATGGACAAAATCAATAATTAATGGTGAATTTTTAACCACGACAAAAGTTGTAAGGTAACAACGTTATGAACTTACTAAATTGAATCTCAAACCTTCTACAATCCAAGTATTTTTAAAAATTCAGCAATTTTGAATGGAATTGTATAAGTTTTAGTGAAACCCAATGTTTTTATAAATTTTTAACAATATTGAAAATATGGTAATTCAAATTTTTAACTAAAAGTTTCTTCCACTTTTAGTTCAGAGTAAAAATTAAATTTACCAGTCTGCAAAGTTGACTTGAGCCATGTTGTCTGGACACTCGTACATACTGTCACTATTATTGATGTTGAACTCGCTCAGGGGCAACGTGCTGTTCAACCAATCCAAACTTTCCGTCACACAAATTCTTTGAAAGGAAACGTGATCTAGAATTTGTAAATTAAAAATAAATTTTTTAAATCTTTTTTTGTGAATTAAATTTCCTTACCTTCATTTAATTCATCTTGTTGGACAGAAACTTGTTTGAAGTACTCGATGAGACATTTCAGTTTTTCTAGTTTCGCATCAAACCAGGCAGTGGATGAGTCAATGTAAAGACTAATTATAAAAATTAATTTTAAAAGAAAAAAATCAATAATTTTAACAAACTTAGAAAAGTTGATGGGTGGAAAGTCCCGGCAAGTGGCAATTTTGTCATCAAATGTGCAAAAGAAACCGTTTGCAAGAATCTCGGCGATGCGAATCTTGCTTAAAGTCACAGTTGCCTCCTTCCCCGCAAACAAATATTCATCAACTGGACTTATATTCTTTGCCAGTTTTTCTATGAAAGGTGCCAGCGTTTGTAGAATGTAATTAGTGTCGCCCTAGAAAAATTAAATTACATTTCATTTGAACCGCCAAAACTATTTCATTATTATTTACTTTAAATATTTTTATTAACACTCACTTTAGTTATAAGCTGGCGCAGAATTTTGAAATTAGCTCTGGTCAAATCGCATGTTTCACTTGACCACATCTTTATCGCAAGTTCCAACTGACCAGCTAATCGATATTGAGTGGTCCAGTTCCGTATTGCTTCCTTTGTCCGCTGAAAAAATTTTAAGATTAAATATTTTTTTAACTTTAAAAAAGAAAATTTTAATCGGAAACTTACGTCCTCATTGGCCAAACTAGCGGTGCCGTTGGTCGTTGACATTTGACTGCTGTTTAAATTGAAAATTTTAAATTAATTGCCATATAGCATTTCATTTGTTTTAAATCTTTGAAATTAAAACTTCAAAATTGTATTTACCAAGCTTTAAAATAAAATTTTAAATGCATGAATTACTTAAGGTGATGCAATTTCATAATTTTTTTATTTGGGCAAAATTACTCCTCAGTTGGGAAAGAATTAAAATATAATAAATATAATGCAAATTATCAAGTTATATTATTATTCACGAAACAAAAATGTAGTGCAAAATGATTAAACTTGCCTCATATTATCAAAGTTGTGGAGATAAAAGTCTCTTATCCTTGCCTCTGCCTGTGTGTGTATTGAGAATGTGCTGGCTGCGTCTCACTATTTCAACGTTCTCAGTTAGTCTACCTCTAAAGACTAAAAAAGTCTCACAATTGAATCAGCCGATTCGTAAATTAAGTGGACTTTTCTTTATTTTAAAGAAAATACCACTTGAAGAATAAAAATTATCTAACCGCAGTTTCTCATTTTCATTTTCGGTGATTAAGAAAACATGGAAAAATCAGATATTATCTGCGTCAAACTTCGTAAGGTTGTGAAATTTTGTGACTTTTCAATTAAGTCTTACTTATAATTAGATGCTTTTAATTGCAATTATCACCATGAAAAAGGAAAATTTAACTTCGTAGAATTTTAATTAATTTATTGATTTTAATTTTTTTTTTCAGAAAACATGATACATAAAAATTAAATTGTCTTCATTCCATAATTTTTTTCAAACTTTATGTCTAGTCACGCTTGACGCGCACACCGTTAATTATTTTCACAATGACCGTCGCCGAGTAAGACAAACAATCAACACATCATTCAGCCTAACTAGCAAAGCACTCAGCAATATCCGCGAGTTATAAAAGTTGGTATGAGCATTTATACATTATGAATCAATCTTGCACTGCCGAGTCGGGATGAATTGCAATTTGAATTGAAACAAAAGTGCATAACGTGAATTTGTTTCGTGCACTTATTTGCATAAGTAATGAGCTTTACTTCTCCAAACAAACTGACTTTCAATATTCTAGAAATTGTCAATATTGAGAGAGACATTAAATAATTTGTGCCGAGTGAAGAATGAAAATTCTAACGTGAAGCTCATTCATGATTTGCCTGTATCAGATCGGGTGATATTATTCTTCTTTTTACATAATTAAAAATAATCTGAGTTTTTTTAAAGCATCATTGATTGAAAAATTGGCTTAATTTCTAATAGTTGAAGCTCTAAATTTAGTTGAGAAGTCCAGATAAATAAAGAATCTATATTCTGCAAAATGTTTGTGCAACTCTTTAAACTAGTTTGGCCCAGAAAAATATAAAGGCTTTAAGGTTAAAGAGATTAAAAAAAATCATTAGTCGTTGAACAAAGAACCTAGTTGTAAAATATCAAATTTAATAAAAATTAGGCAATATTTTCAAATTATTTCAAATATCTTTATTTTTAAATTTATTCATTTATTATTAAACTTTGTATTTACAGATCCTAAAATTATATGAATATTGCACTTTGTTCTGAATTCTGAAATAATAATTCTAAACCATTTTTACCAGTTATTCACACAATTAAAGACATTGATCGCCGCGTTCTTATGCCTCTTGCCAAGCACGTCTGCTGTACCGGCTGCATAACACACAGAGTTTAATTTCAACCAGTCACGCACTAAAAATATTAAGCCTCGGTACTCCTCACTCAGTTTCAATTATCGCAAAGTTAAACATGCAGTTTTTTTTTTAGAGTCAGCTGCCGAAATTAATTATTTCCGCCACACACCGAGGCAATTTCGCAGAGCAGATAAAATGAAAAAATCTTTTTTCCTTCTCGCTACACTTTTTTATTTGTCCCGCGGCGGCGCCTTATTCAATTTTTACTCCACTGCTCTTTTTGTGGCAAAACTGACCTATCTCTCGTCATTATTAAACAATTTGTTGTTTTTTTGGGGAACAAAAAGCGTACGGGCGCTTTGTTTGTTTGATTGGCAGGTGAATCAGGTGCGGCGCAGCTCGTTAGCGGCGAATAACGCGGCGTGAAGTTGACCCTGCGGTCCACATGCACGAACAGCCGCGTGCACGAGAACAAAATCCGGGGAGAGAATTAATTTGGGTTTAATTTTTTACTCATTGCTTGTTATATTCGGCGAGCGTGCCTCTCATTATGCACGAAGGTGTTTTTGTTCGGAAGCAAATTATGTCTGGCCTTCCCTGGCAAATTGAATTATTCTTCACTTATATTGAGAAAAAAAATCATAAATTAGGTGGATTCAAAATTATTAAATTAATTTGAGTTTTTAAAAGATGAAAATTTATTTAAATTAAATATGAAAAATGCTTAAAAATGTTTTTTTTTCATGTTAAAAAAATTATCATATTTTAATGTTGATGTTACAGTTTTTTAATGTCATAATTTATTACATCTTTTAATTGAATTTAAAATTTTCTAAAATAATACAAATTTATTTATAAAACCGGACATTTCAGTATATTTATCAATAATATTTATTTCAATTAAATAGCTTTGGAATTTAAAAATAATTGAAACAACATGACTTTTAGTGAAATATTTATAAAACACTGGTTGTTTTATGTACATAGAAGTTATGGATGTGAAAGACTATTTGATTAATTAAACCAGGAAGACAGCTGATGAAAGGCGTCAATGAAAGTCCGGCCGCCGATTTTTTACTCCCCGAGCGCGCCTGCTTTTATTGAAAACACAATAACCTTTGCGGCTGTCAATCATCCCCGAGTTTTTTTCCTCTCCAACCGTTGCCTTTCTTCTGAGGTCGAGACATGCGAGCCAAAAAACCTTTGTTTCTTCCTATACACCTGAGTTTGAATGCCAAGAGTAATTTTTTTTCGTATTTTTGTTGTGCGTGAATGAATTAATTTCAATTTGTGTGTTTTCTCGTTAATAATTTATGATAATATATAAAGGTGGCTTCTTTTTTTGCGGTTGGAAAAATTATATAGAAGATAATAATGAAAGAGCGCATGTTGGTCACGCTTCAGGTAAAGCAGCAGGTAATATTCCGGGTTTTATTTTGCATTTTAAACAGATGCAACGTTTACTTTTTCCCTTCTTTAGAAGAGAAATGGGCGAATTATATTCAAAATAAAAATAAAATAGAAGAAAAACGAATGAATAAAGAGAAAAAAAATTATTAGGATAAATTTAATCCCCCGTTGGATTAATTCTTTGTGAAATATCTTTTAAACCGTGAGCGAAATTGATTTTGTCTGCGTAAAAAAATGAATTTCAGCTTTGTTTTAAGGAATTTTATTACAATTCGACCCCATCAATTAGTCGTTAATCCGCTTGGTTTATTGAGGAAAGTATAATTTACGCAGTTCGTAAAGAAGCACTTAATTAGCAATAAAATAAATGCGTCCGCCTGCATGGAGTTGCATTTCGAGAGAGAGGTCAGCAGGTGAAACTGGTCAGATTCATCTCGTAATCGAGCCTTGAGTTTTCACGCTGCGTGCTAAGCAGCGATCAATTTATTTTCATCTCGAAAATACACAATTGCGACACGCAGTAAAATATAAATACATTTCTTCCAGAGCAGCGCGCGACAGACATGCAAGAGAGAAGTGTCATCTCGCCGACTTGCGCTCGGTTTACGACCAGGCCTCCATTAATTAATCGATTTGCATAACTCGCGCGTCACTCCGCGGTGGTAAGTTATATCTGTTCATTGTCATCTCCACAGTAGCGCACCAGTATAATATCGCACGTGCTAGAATTAACAGAATCTATAATATATGGAAATGAAGATTCGGGCTTTTCCTCGTTGCAAAAAATTGTTTTTTATTCAAAAACAATATTTTATAATAAATTTTATAATATATATTTAAAATTTTTGTTTACATTAAAATCTTTATTTAGGTAATAAAAATTTAAATTATTAGGACTTATTTAAAAGAGAAACTACAGCAAAAATTGAATTTTTCCAAAATTAAAAAGTATAAAGAGCACAACATCATTTTCTTAGGAGAGTGTTTTAAATTTAAAATAATTTTGAACCAGACCAACATTGTTTATCCTAGATCCGTTGTTAAAATGAACTTAATTTTAATAAAGGAATTAAAAAGACTTTTTTCCAATCAAATTATTAATAGATCAGAAAAGTCTAAGGTCTATCATGTTACATTTTACTAACTCCGCGAGCAATGTAAAAATAGCTTTTTCTGTCTCACCTCCCATCGAGCCCCTTTGACTGTCATCACTGCCAATTTTAAAATTTATTTTATTAACATTTTTACTGTTGCTTTTTTGCCCATTGATTAAAAAAACATTTTGGATCACGCAAAATAATCAATTATTGGAAAATTGAATTGTTGTACAGCAAGAATTTTGCTAAAGCTTCAGGGATAAAAAAGACCCCATCCGTCGCAATGTGAGTTGAAGTATTTTGGTATATTAAAATCACTTTTAAATGAGGGGACAGTGAGAGTGTCTGGTCGGGCAGTAAATATTTGTGGATAAAAAATTCGCCGGACAAAAGCGGAGAATGCGCGATGGCGCAATAATTAAATCACGGCATGACCTTTTTGAGTGGATGGCCGGTCGGTGGCGGCGGCAAAGCGCATTTTTTCGTGACATGGCTGCTCGTTCGTCATTTAGCAATTATCTGGCAAAAACAAATCGCGGAATGTGTGCTGCACGTCTTATATATTTTCCTCTCTGTGTGTGTATAAAAATTTACACGCGCTCAGTTTATATATATGAAAAATAAAATCGCGACCGTGCGACTCTCTTTCTCGCGCACTTTTAAATCGCAAAGTGAACACTGGAATCTCAAGGGCCGCGCTCTGGAATGTGCCACTGTGTTATTGCGAGTATTGTCTGCGCCTAAATTGCTAATTGTCCCCCGAGAACGGCCGCGCTTTTCTCTCTCTTCGCAGGGGTGCTTTTGTTTCCCTGCACTTTTTCTGCACATCGATTTCGCAATCCGAGCGTGAGAATTCAAACTGCACTCGGTTTTTCAATATATCTGAACCTGCATTTATACTTTGTTGCTGCACGGTTGTAGCGGGATTCAATTACAGATTGCGATGTGGACAATTGGAATTCGCGACCGCAACGAGAGACGAACCTTTTCTTTTAACTTAAAATCAAATCTTTCCTCAATCAAGTGATTGAAACTAATGTACGTGTGTGAAAAGGAAGAAAATAGAAACGAAGAATCAAGCATCTAAATTTTTCAAATTCAATACCAATCTCTTATTGGTGCGAAAAAGTAAAAATAAAAAATATCCAGAATCATCAAATATGTATAAATAAATTGCAGAAATGAATTCTTCTAAAAAATATCTTGAAAATTTAGTGCGATTATGGAATGCTAATTTTTATTTTAT